CAGCCAGTCCAGTCCAGTCCCGTCAGTCCGCTGGGGTATACCCCAGCCATTGTCTGTTTTCAGTCTCATTCCTCACTTGCACATTTTGGAGTACGTGCGTTGGAGTCTTGCGTGGGGAGCTGCGTTGTGCCATCTTGCTCCCCCTTCTTCCTCCATCTCCATCTCTGTCACTAGCGGAGCACCACACCTGGTGGGTCCGCTACAGTAGCACCCATTGAAGCAGTCTTGCCGTCCTTCCCCTAGCTTACCCAAGGCCAGGCGAAACTCGGACTGGCCTGAGCGACTTATACCCCTACCCTTACCCCAGGGTCTAAGCCTTATATATAGCCACTAGACAGTTCTGTCCGAATGTCAGTAGGAACTCCGGTGGGCCATACCTGTCCCTACTGCAGATACTAGACCCCACCCAGTGACTAGACCCCCCCAGTCTGATAGTTGTGTAGTTCGCAATGTATGTGTATACCCGAAGGCTGTGTATGCTCCGTGTATCTATGTATCAAGATGTACAGACAGCACTATGTGTGGAAACTTGTGTGTATAATTCGCAAGCTATGTATATGCCCGGGGTCTGTGTGTGCTCTGTGAATCAATGTATCGAGATGTATAGGCAGCATCATGTGTGTATATCGAAGAGAGAACGGGGTAAGCTGGACAGGGACCCCCACAAGGTCCAAACCAAGCTCGAACCCGTGACCTTGTAACATGTAATCGTATGACTCTCCCATGTGAAAGACTAGTGGAAATGTGATATGCCAGACTGGGGAGATCAACACAACACCCAGGACCAACACCCCCAAGCAACCCATGCGAAACCCAGAACCAACATACAACACCATGAACAACCCTTGGGTGGTGCGCAGGCAGTGTCTGTAATAGTACCATGCGTCAGCCCAAGGGAGTGTATGTCCAGCCGTGCGTCAATAATCTAACGCCCTGCCGGTGTCCATGCGCAAGGTTGCAATTGAGTTTTGAACCCGCAACCTCATACCACAATGAGCATTTCCAACCGGTGCTCTAACCACTGAGCCACATCAACTGGACATCAGCTTCCTGTTTAACAGTGAAGCCGGACACATCCAGATGCAGTAGTAGCGTCATCGAGAGCGCTCCCACTGGCGCCAAAAGGTACTCCCACTACCCTCGGTGGCATCGGTACGATGATGCTGCAGCCCCAAAGCACTGGCTCCCCAGCATCCACATGTACTTCGGTGTAGGCACTCTCTCCCAAAGCTGCCGAAGCAGTCGAGAGCCGTGTCATCCGTATACTAGCGTTGTAAATGTGTCTGTAGGTGTGTATACTAGGAGGAGGAGGGCTGTAGGGTTGGCCTCCGCCCATTCAAGCAGCCGGAAATACCAATGCCATAGCACAGGCTATGGCTGGCCAATGGCCATACGGTCACATGCTAGTTGTAGGATATCTCCATAGCTCCCCCGCACGTGTGAACAGGCGCTTACGCACCGACATCATAGGTGACGCTCCCACCACTGACGGTAGGCCTCCCACTCCTACAGGCAGCGCCGCGACCCGTAGCGGTGGCGCTTCACACGGTCCCCCTTACCCAGCCTCCGTGTTCTATGAGTAATGAAATGCAAACTTCCATTTAAAAGAAAAAGAAAAAGAAAAGAAAGAAAAGAAAAAGAATTAAAAAAGAAAAAAACGAGATTGTGCACACCCTAGGGTTTATCCTT